ATGGATGCATGGATGAATGAATGAAAGAAAGTCGACTTTAGAAATCAAAGCAAACCTGAGGTCTTAGATGAACCTGAGTTCTTGAACGAAAACTAGATAGCAGATTAAAAAAAAAAAAAAGAAAAAATGACTCTGGGGTTATTAACTGAGCGGTTTTACTAACGTGAAGACAAGCTCTAAAAAAACTTAATCTACAAAACACTTAAATAAAACTTAACACTTTTGAATCTAAGTATAATCTTTCAAAATAGACATTTCAGCTTGCAAAGGGTTAGACAAAATAAAGGACAAAAGCAGGAATAAAAAATCAATTATAAAGAGAGAATATGACTTGAGTATTGAATCAATTTTAATCTTAGAAATAATATTTTTGTAAAGAAAATTAGAAAACATAAGACATAACAGGAAAAAAAACAGAATTCAGTATTAGAAAGAAAGAAAAAGTAGGTTTACAATAATATTTTTAGAAAAATTTCAAGCAAGAAAAAAATAGAAAAGATTAGAAAAAAAGAAAATTTCAATAAGACTGAATAGAAATATAACAGCAGCAACATATATTGTATGACTATGTAGAGAAAGGGCTTGAAGTTATTCGAGTTAAAAAAATCATATCAGTCACTTACTAATTTTGAAAGCCCTATTCCAAGCCTGAGCCATATATCCTATTCATTTGATTCCCAAGGAAGTTGAGCAATCCAATTCAATTAAAGACCTACATCTTATTTTTTTTTTACTTCTTTTGGTATATACTTTTAGAAAATCTCATTCAAAACCGAAATCTAACATTAATAATTTTGGAATATTGTTTGCGAGCGGTAAGTCTAAAGCTTAAAGTAAAAGCTTCGCATGTTTTCATTCGTGATATGATGTTTGAAGTTGGAAGCTTTTGGATACACGGAATAGTTCAAGTTTAAAGAAAGCTCACTATTTTTTGATTTGTCCTTCCGTCTTATCAATATCCTTTCACCGCGAAAGCGTCGCTATTTTCATGAGCAAATAAAAATGCAAAACAAAACAACGAATAGAATATTATAAAAAGAAGTTTCTTACCAGATATATTTTTAATCTCCCTCTAAGCTTTGACGTTACACTTTCAATGACAGGCAGGTTTTGGTTGTCATCACAACGCGGCTCTTAACTTAAAAGTGGTCGTTTTACTTCGTGTCTTTAAAATACACATCCTGCACATTTGTGACAGATATAACACCGTGTCTCGATATCATTAAAATGTTTATTAGATACTCTAAATGGTGTAAATATATTGGACGCTAAAAATAGAGAACGAGCAATACCAAAGTTTAAACAGACTCGGCGGGGGATATAATTATATTCAGAGTTGCCTGGATACTCTGTCGAAATTTTTTTTTTTGATTAAATCTAATTAAATTAATTTTTTTTTTTGGCGGTTGGAAGCGGAAATACGTCACAAATTCAAAGCTCTCGGAGTTCGCTAGTGCTCTTTCAATCCCAGATCCTGCGTTTCTTCTGGCTAGCGGCGAAATGTTCCCCATTTCTAATTCTTACTTTGATCGAAAGTAAACACAGAACTCTGTTTGAAAGCATCTGATTTTCATTCACCATTTTCCATGCATTGGTTCACTGGTCAAACTCAAAGGTAATCCTTTGAAAGTATCTTGGCGCCTCGCTTGAGCGCTTTGTGTTTGACCAGTCAACCAATGTATGGAAAATGGTAAATTGATTATATTTCACTTCCAGAAAATTGCGCATGCGCCAAAATGGCCAGAGCCCTTGCTCTTCGCCGCAGGCCAAGAAATATCAATTTCTTTCGTCCTTTTCTTTTTCTTTTCTTATTTTGGTACTTTGCAGAATCCCAAATCTCATCAAAARATTTATCTCTCTCTCTCTCTCACCCAATTGTCAGTTAATTTAACTACAAATATTTCAGCCGAATGTCAGATAACTGTGATATTTTTTTACRAGCGCTGGCCATAATATTAACCAAAATAATGAAATCTACTGTTATCTACTTATTTTAGGTTAGTATTATTTATGTAATAAGTAACTTCTTATTTAAACATTTTGTAATAAAATTGAACGATAAAAACATGTTAAAAATGTGACGACGTTTCGACGTTGCACGACGTCATTATCAAGTCAAGAAATGAACTAGATAGATATATAAAATAGATACATAATAACATAATCAGACAAAAAGTTTGGCACCATGGAATTATTTATCTTTTTTTAGTATTATTTATCTTTTAAATACTATTTTTTGGCCTGCATGGGAATTTGTAATTTCCCATCAAAGGTATCTGTAATCCTTAAAGATATTCCTTCCAAAAAATGCATCGATCATTTTGCCGGGTCGAAATTAGCAAATGAACATGGTATTTAATATATATATATATTTAGTATACAATCTAATGCTTTAACGATTTATCTACTATAAGTTATTTAATAACTAGTGTTTCTAAGGAGGATTGCAACAGAATTACTCCAAAAAATGCATCGATCATTTTGCCGGGTCGAAATTAGCAAATGAACATGGTATTTAATATATATATTATATTAATGTATTTGTAAATAATTTTCTTTTTTTTCTTTTTTCTGTTTTGATGGATGGAATAAA